TTTGGGGGGGGGAAACAATGCAAACTAGCAACTGTCCTACAATCTGATGGTCTTAGAGAGCTCCTCAGAACACAGATGGGACCTGAACCCTGGTCTTCTGATTTCAAGCATATGCCTTTTCCTCTACTAGACCATGCTACTTTTCCCTAAAAGCTAATCCTGCAGTTAATTCCCACAGTCAACTGTATCCTAGACCACATACGTAAAACTGGGAAGGGGGGAGTCATACTAATAATAATTAGAAAATATTTATATTTGATATATTATATTTATATAGCACCTAAGATTGGCAAAGCACTTTACACAGATAATCTCATTTGATCCCCACAACAACCCTGGGGACAGGTGCTATTTTAATGTCCATTTTACGGATGAGATAACTAAGACTTGCCCATACCCATACCTACTTAATGTCTTCCTGACTCCAAGTCCAACATGCCTATGCCACCTAACTGCCTAACAATGCTGCTCTCTGGGGTAAGTGCTAAGAGAGACAATCCCACCATTTTCCCCAGTCCCTTCCTCACCCTACTCCACTCCTACTCACACTGGGCTAGTCTGACAAAGCAGACACTAAGGGGTATCCTGGGGGGAAAGGGTTGGAAGGTGGGGGTGGATCCAGCCCTGTGGACACTTAAGGCAGATATAAGAACCAGCTGCCCCAGTATACCCCTTCCTGTCTTTGGGCTTTGGTCTACCATAAATACCTTATGTTTCCAACTGCAGTGGGGATATTTGGTCCCTATTAAAACATAAATACTAAATCTAAATCACTTTTTAAAATCAGAATTGATATTCCATTATGTGTATACTTGGAAATCATCCCCTTTTTTCCGGTCAATGAGAAAATAGTTTTATTATATAATGGAGCCTCCTCCCTGCCAAAAAATCATTGAGACTGACCTTATAAGAATTCTTTGTGACCCACTATAAACTGCCAAGGGCAACCACATTAAGTCACCATCATCCCCTAACAGGGAGGAACTAGAAGAATATAGCAAATTACTGGAGTACTACCTAACAGAAGAACAGAATGACACAGAAATTTCCGACGGGATCAGCACTGACCTAGGTCTGGTAAAGGTGCCACGGGGAGCCGAGCTATGGGTAGCGGGAAGACATTCTGAGCTCAAGGGGAGAGCAGGAGGCCTTCTCATACACTGGACCATGTTGACTGACTTTCAGTTAGTTATCTGGGGATTGTGGGGAGATCGTTTACATTTTACCCCATAAGTTAGCCCTCTCTCAGGAGCGTGAATCAGCCTGATCTCTCTTCAGTTAACAGTAGGGACTTATATTTGCGTAGCATTTTTACGGTTTACGCAGGCCTTCCAGACATCATCTTATTTTCAACCCCTATCACCCAAGCATCCCTGGAAGTGCTGCCCACTCTAGCTCTCCTTCCACAGATAATGCATTCAAAGGCATTAGGAAGATGGATGGATAATTATTGTTGTGACAAGGCAGTAGTCCAATTACTGCGGTAAAAGACACAAATGACCTTTCAGGATTTAATGCAAAAATCGTTCATTGTTTCTTAGGCTATGGAGATCACAGACTCCACCTGTCTATTTTTGCATCATTATTTCAGGCACAATATCACCTCCTGGTCCTTCTAATCTAGTTTGCAATGATTCAATAGAGAGAGATCGCAAGGCCTGTGGAAGATGAAATATAGAACCGAAGTGAAGGGTTTTGTTGCCAGTAAGCATGCATAACAAATGTAAGACTTTGGGTGAGTGCTTCACCCAGTCTTTCATTTTTCGATTGCATGTCAATTAAAAGAGGATTTTGTGAATTGAAGTGGACTTCATTCCCCCAGCCTCTACACAGACCTGGCAAGCTGGGAAGTTGTTTTCTTGTTTGTTTGTTTCGGGGAGACAAGATGGGGTTCTCCAAAACAGGTTTGGGAGACATAGGTTCAGAATCCAGGATTTGATGGGAATTTTCTATCCCAAGTCAGATAATTGTTTGGGACCATGGACCTTGAGTCAGCACTAGAAAAGGGTAACATATAAACCTAACCCTAACCTGAGGCATTCAGCTTGCTGGTGTTAGCCCCCTGTGTGGCTGTGGTAGACCATAGGGAAACGAACAAATGTCACAGAGAGACTTTTTAGCCACTGCTACTCTCTAAATGATTGCTAAGAAAAGCAATCAGAATGACTCAGGCTAACATTAAGTCTGTTTGTTAACTGACATGTGTCTGGTACTGATTCAAGGTCCATGGTTTCAGACTTGGAGTTAAAAATTCCCTGTGACTCCCATTAAACCTCGATTGTGAGCCTATGTCCCCCAAATCTATTTTAGAGAGACTCTGTCATAAGCTTTACTCCCTCACTACATTAGGATTCCAAAGCCACTAAGATGTCAGTGATGACAAAGCCTTCAGCTGGTCAGGATTCCCTCTGAGTTTAAAAAAAGAAAAGAGAGAGAGAGAGAGAGAATTGGGGAAGTGGACCCTGGGAGCCTTCATCATAGCAAGAACAAATACAACAGTCCCGAATGGCCCACTCAAAACAGACACATTCATTAAACAGCACCTACTCCCAAATGGGTCATACCACAAGGTTTGATGCTATACCTAAAACATTTGTTTCACTCAGGAAAGAAAAGACAAACAATGCAATTGAAAGATGACTAGAGACTGTATGAAAACATTTGTCAAGCTGAAGCACCATCCAACGTCAATTAGAATGGAGAAAAACTATTTCAGTGACAGGCTCTTCCTTCCCCACTCCAACATCTGCAATGGTAAAGTACACCACTGTGGTGACAGCTACAAATGTTGTACTCCAAAGGGGCTGTAGGACTCATTCTGATTCAGTGATTATGTGTTTCAAAGATCACATTATTAAAACTTTCATAATGGTTTGTGATGCAGTGCTAGGTGGCACAGTGGATAGAGTATGGGCCTGGAGTCAGAAGTATCTGAGTTCAAATCTGGCCTCTGACACTTACTAGCTATATGACCCTGGGCGAGTCACTTCACCCTGTTTGCCTCAGTTTCCTCATCTGTAAAATGAGCTGGAGAAGGAAATGGCAAACCCCTCCAATATCTCTGCCAAGAAAACCCCAAATGGGGCCACGAAGGGTCAGACGTGACTGAAAACAACTGTTTCACTGTGAGCCCCTCAAAAGCTAGGAATGTTCTTCACCTTTCCTCGTATCCCTTGCATTTATCACAGCGCTTGGCACATTGTTGTTGTTGTTCAGTCACATCTGACTTTTTGTGACCCTGTGGACCAAACATACCAATACTGGCCATGGGTTTTCTTGGCAAAGATACTGATGTGATTTACTATTTGCTTCTCCAGTTTTTTATGAAGGTAGAGGTTGAGTGACTTGCTCAGGGGCACACAGCTAATAAGTATCTGAGGCCGGATTTGAACTTAGGTGTTCCTGACTCCAGGCCTGGCATTCTATCCACTGCATCACCTAGCTGCCACCCTGACACATAGTACGTGCTTAATAAATGCCTACTAACCCAATGACTGTCTCTATATGTGTAGCTCTTGGATTTTCTAGCTGTTTTTTCTTTATCTCTTGATCTCCACCCCCTCCTTTTTCTCTTTCAAACTCTCCTTCTTTGTGTCTCTCCTTTAACTGTCCATAATAAAAATCCTTCATTCTTTATCATTTAATACTGTTAATAATAATAGTAATTAATATTATTATAGCTCACACCTAGAGTTTACTCCATATGGTTTATCCTTTACCAAATGAGATGAGTGTTTGCAGACCACTAAGTGCTATGTAAATACTAGCTATTATTATTTGTATTTTATATTTCAAAGCACTCTCTTCACAGTTTGTAAGGTGGGAAGTACAAGGGTTATAATCCCCTTCCTTACAAATCAGCAAGTCCAGGGGTCATTGGCATTGAGCTTAAAGGGGTCTTAGGGATCATTTAGTCTGACCCCTTCATTTCCCAGAATGAGAAAGGCTTAATGTCCTCCTCTGATTCTGCTCACATGCTTATTACAGCTACAGTTAGAGCTGGGTGGGCCTTGACCTGGGGCCTTTTGACTTCAAGTCCTGGAGTTAAGTCCCCTGTTCCTAATTTTTAAAACAGGAGCAGAATGTTTTAACTTCTCCTCTAAAATACAAAATTCCTTCCCTACTCCCCCAAAAAAGCATACCTTTACTCCTATGGCTCTTGGTTGAGCTTTCCTCTGTGTGGGCCGAAGGCCTCCAATCAAAATAAAAGGTTATTTATTTACTCACTCTTCTCTGCAGCCACTGACAACATGGCGCTTGGGGTGGGAGGAGTTTATGGCGTCAGCCTCCAAATGCAAGGAGGTATATAAACTCGATAAAAGTCTTTCTTCTCTGCTCACCTACCTTTTCCTAAGCAAAATCCTTCCCTGTCTTAGGAATGTGTCCGTGAGAATAGAGATTGGTTGGGTGTCTAGTCTATAGCACTGACTGACATTCATTGGACAAGCATTTATTAGGCACCTGCCCTGTGCAAGGTGCTAGGACACAAAGACAATATAAAAACACTCCCTTCCTTCAAGGAGGTTACAGTCTACTGAAGAATGTGTGTGGGGGGGGGGTGCAGCTTTTAAACATACAAATAAATAAGATAGAATTTGAGGAGAGAGAGAACTGACAATTAGGGGCATCAGGAAAGGGGACAGCAACTGAGTTGAACCCTGAAGAGAAAGATAAGGATGCTAAGAGGTGTGGGTAAGGAGGGCATGCATTCCAGGCACGAGGGACAGCCTAGGCAAAGGCAAGGAGGTGGGACTGTTGAGTTCCGGGAATAGCAAATGGATCAGTTCCAGTTGAATGCAGAGTGCATAAAGGGGAACAACCACAAGATTATTGCAATAGTCCAGGCAAGAGATGAGAAGGGAGTTTTCATCTTGCTTTGGATGGAGCTCTTGCAAATTACACCCCAATCCCTCAGGGCTGCGCCATCTTTAGTCTCTTGGGAGGTTAACAGAAAAACTGGAGATTTTGACTGTCCTAGCCCTTCCAAGGATGACACATACCTGATGAGCGGTCCTAAAAGTGCTGTCTGCTGCGTCCTCCTCTATCACCTCTTCTATTGTATCCTCCTCACTTGCTTCTGAACAGGAATCAAAGACATCCACATAATACTCTTCAGCTTCTACAGGATCTTCTGGGATCTCTGAAATGAGACACAGCCACAAAACAGCTGATTACAGGGAGTAAGATGGTGTTTTCCCCAGAGACGTGGAAAGAGGTGACTTACAAATCTCCCTTTACATCAATGGTGCCCTGTAAGGGCATGAAGCCCGGTCACTTACAAATAAAGTCAAGAAGGGGAACATTTGTCAAAGCGGAGAGTCAGCAAGAACAGAGGAAATGCCATTCTCAGCTTCCTTTTGAAACTCCAAGTGAGAAAGCCATGAAACAGTGATGAAACTATGGCTCAAATGTGTTTCTATTTTAAATCAGGTGGGGAATGTTGGCAGTGAGGGGGGTGCGATGGATAGAGTGCTGGGTCTGGAGTCAGGAAGACCTGAGTTCAAATCCAGCCTCAGGAACTTACTAGCTATGTTTCCTTGGGCAAGTGACTTCCCTGCTGTGTGCCTTAGTTTCCTCAACTGTAAAATGGGGATAATAACAGCACCTACCTCCCAGATCTATTCTGAGGATCAACTAACACCTTAAAGTACTATAAATAAATTAATAAATAAGCCTTGAAGTACTATCTAAAATTTTCAAATCTTAAATCTCTATATCTACAAACCTAGCTATTATTACTATTAGGCATCTGGCTCAGTGGATAGAGTGCTGCACCTGGAGTCAGGAAGAATCATCTTCCTGAGTTCAAATCTGGCCTCAGACACTTTCTAGCTATGTGACCCTGGGCAAGTCACTTAACCTCGTTTCCTCATCTGTAAGACAAGCTAGAGAAGGAAATGGCAAACCACTCCAATATCTCTGCCAAGAAAACCCCCAAATGGCATCATGAAGGGAGGGATGTGACTGAACAACGATTATTATTAATAAAATATATACTCACATCCAGAATCACATAAAGCGATAATGTCCTACATGAGCGAAAGGCCCCTCCACATCACCAAGAGCCCATCCTGAGCTTACAGAGCACACCCAGTCAACAAGGCCACTGGTGCAACACACGCCCAGTGGCTGGTTCTATACGGTTCCCTTGCACTTCCTCTTTCAGGGGAGAAGGCAAAGGAAATGCAATCCCTTCCAACTCAGTTTATCAAAAGGTTTTCTTGGCCCGCATGCAGTCACTTGTTGCGTTAATGTTCACTTTTCCCATCCAGGGGAAAACGCTCTTTGATAAATAGCTTTAATTTCCTCTCCCCCTGCAGTGACCCTTATAACTGATGCGTCAGGGCAGCGCTCTGGAGTTCCCACACACTTCGCAGGCAGTGACGGAGTACCTTTACCAAGGAATCCAATGATGACTGCCTCAGAGACTGTATCCCCAGTGTTCCAGATGAGGGCTGCACAGAAAGAGGGATTATGCAAGACGCAGGTGCTGGGGAAGGGTTCTCATTTGGCCCTTCTCAATTAATTTGGCTTCTTCAATTAAGCCCAAACAAGTCCCTTCAGCTGTGACATAAAAATACTAATTAAAAACCCTTATAAGTATTATACTTATTTACTTTGTAATACTGAATTATTATGATACTATATTATATATAATTAACGTGGCTATTTTAAGAAGACCTACATGCTATTGCTAAATTTATTATATTAATGATAACTGGCATCATTTATCATTAATAGGACAATTGCAGGATGGGATCATGGGATACCACAGACTATAAAGAATTTAAGTGGCTGGTCTCCTGCAGGGCAGCGAAGAGACAGCGGTGGTCAACAATTGTGTTCGGCATGTTATCCAAAAATTGCACATAAGGAATAGCGTGAAAGTTATGAGAGAAAGAGGTAGTCTGTTCAGTCGTGTAGCAAGACAGTGAGGTAACAGATGGGCAGTCTACATGCTGGGCTCATAAAGTAGCTTGGAGATTATGAGTGTTGTCTGGGATGGAGACATCCATTAAAAAATGTTGTCCTTACATTTTTATAGATCAGCATCACAACGAGGAAATTGCCAACAATAGTTTGGTCTATGATAACCATCTTATTGGTTGAGCTCTCCAGAGGTCTGTATTTGTAGCACTGGAGTCTGTCTTATGTCTGTCCACAAAAGTTAGGGAACTTCTGGTGTATAATCCCAGACACCAGGCATTATGAGGTAGACAGTAAATGCACTCTCTCTACTATTTCCCTGCATAATCTACATTGATCACTAAATCCAGTCTCCTTAAAAAAAAAAAGAAATAACCTTCTATAGTTTCTGGTGTCAATGACCTAGTTCTGAATTGCCATCACAGACTTCTGTTTCCTCAGATAAATTCACATCAGTCACATGTTCAATATTTCTTTATAAAAATGTTGTTGGTCAAGCTCATATGGAAGTTGCCCATGGAAGATCTGTTGATTACATTCTTGGATCTTAGCTGTTTCACAGGCTCCATCCAGAGGCAAGCCAATTTCAGTAATATTGGACAAAACCACCATGGGCATACGTATACCCACCAGGCGTCTACCCACTGCCCTTCAGGTATATTCATTATCAGCTTCTAGTCTTTTTTGTTGAACTGATGTTTCTTCATTCCAGAAGCATTTCTGTAGGTTTTGGACCTGTCTGCCATGTTCTCTAAGAATGTCTATCCATCATCTTCCTTTGGTTTGGCTGCCTTAGGCTGATGGGTCCTATATTTCACTAATGTTCTACAGGTTTTTGTTAGGGCACTTTTGAAATCAGCTATGGCCCATCTGAACAATTCCGAGAGAATACATTAATACTGCAGAGGTATTAACTGCTTTAAATATGCTCTCCCCATTAGGCTTTAATTTCAGGATGCCAATAAGTCTCTTAACATTTAGCTACAGCATTCTCATTAATATCTTTATGTTCTCTGTGTCTTGCTCGAAGGAGACCAAGTTATTTATGGCTTGCCTTCATCCACTGATTCAATGTGACCTATAGATTCAGGCCCAAAACCTTCTGCCTCTATCTTTCCTTAGCATACATTAAGAATGTTACACTTATCAAAAAAAAAAAAAAAAGAATTTTACACTTATCACATCCAATGATAACGTGCTTTCAATGGGGAAAGTTTCCATGTGAGGAAGGAGTTGGTGAATGTGTGACTGTTGTTGTTTTTGTTATTTTATTTAAGGGGAAAGTACTAGAAAGGTGTTTTGCCCAAGATCGTTCTGCTCTGTTCCTATGCTCTGACATGTTTACAGTAAATCTATGTGATCTCCAAAGAGCTTTTGGCATATTTCCCCACTTTCTGTAAGGTAGGCCGGGAAGATATCATCAGCAGTTTGACACCGAGGCAACCTCACTGATGCCTCACTTAAATGACTCAATCAAAGCCCACAGGGCCAGGGTGTGGAAGAGGCAAGATCAGGACTCAGATCTTCCATGTCCTAGGCCAAAGTTCCTCAAAGGAATAACATAACCAATATTGTCCAATATTGTCCAATAACTTCTAGAACTTGGGCTCCCCTAAGGTAATGGGATTTTCCCAGTTGATAAAAAAACTAGTGGGGACCTCAGAAACCATAGATTGGTGATGTCAAAGTCAAACAGAAACGGAAGCTACTAAACCACTCATAAAGATCCCTGTGGGTGCATACTGAGTTAGAAAATCACAAAATTAACATGTCATGTCGCATTTTTATTTATTTTGCTAAATATTTCCCAATTACATTTTAATCTGGCTCAGGCCACCCTCAAGAGTATTGTTAGCTTCATGGGCTTGCAGGCCACCTGTTTGACACTGCTGAGCTAGTTCAACCTCTTCATCTAATAGATGAGAAAACTGAGGCCAATGGAGTCCCCAAGGTCACCCAGGTAGTAGGTGACAGAGGCAGGATTCAAACTCAAGTCTTCTGACTCCAAAGCCAGCACTCCACCCAATGCACCACGATGTTTTCTAAACTGAATTAAATCAACAACTATTTATTAAGAGTCTGCCATGGATAAGGCACTGTTCTAGACGCTAAACCCCAGTGTACTACCCTCCCCATGACATTAATAATCTTTTGTCCTTATCTAGGCTTTTGTGTTTATCTGATCATCTTTATAGGTAAAAGCTCTTTATAGGGCCAAGGCCTGTATCATCTTCATAATACTCTGGAGAACTACATGGCTCACAGATAATAATACTTCCGAACTTCAACACATATTGAATTAAAAGGGCAGAGATTTCAGTGATAAGGTGAAGATTCCCCTAATGAAGGTGCTCATTTTGACTACCAGGCCATGCAGTGGCCAAAATTTTTGTTGCTGATTTGTGTCCAACTCTTCATGACCCCATTTGGGGTTTTCTTGGAAAAGAAACTGGAATGGTTTTCGATTTCCTTCTCCAGCTCATTTTATAGATGAAGAAACTGAAGCAAACAGGGTTAAGTGACTTGCCCAGGGTCACACATCTGCTAAGTGTCTAGGGGTAGATTTGAACTCAGGAAGATGAGCCTTCCTGATGCCAGGCCCAGCACGCCATTCTCTGGGCCACCCAGCTGCCTGGTACATAGTAAATGCTTAAAAAATGCTTACTGATGGGCGAGAGGGCCACTGAGATCTCCTCCAGCATTAGATTTATGCTCTATCACCCTGGAGCCCCTAGGTCAAAGACATGAGTCAAGGTCACCCAATGGTTCTCCCAGCACATCCTGTTAGAATGTCAGGTTCACCTAGCTCTCTACCATAAGATTGGATTGTCTCTCTCTCCACAGCTAATAATAATGTCAGAAATAATTAATATTTGCTAAGCACAGAGAACAAATGACTTGTAATGTGAGAAATTCAGCAGACTAGTTTTGACTTTTCAAAAAATTCTCCCTGGAAAAGTACTAATATCCAAGTTAATACTTTTGAAAAAGGGTTTTCCAAGTTCTATACAATAAAATAAAATCATTAGACAAAAAATACTGTATTTATGTTTTTAGCCCTGGGGGGAAAAAAGAAGTGAAATTCTGCATCTGCCAAGAGATTTTTTTTCCCTCTGTGCTTAGAGGGACAAGATAGCATGATTACATGGAAGCGATGAGCACAAAATGACAGCTTACAGGGAGAAGAAGGGGTCAGAAACCCCAGCCCTGTCA